TTTCCCCCACCACTGCACTGCAGCAGAAGCATGAGTCTGTTTGTTGAACAAAGAGAGAATCCTAAGCCAGACATCCAAAAGAAAAGTGTGTAAACAACACCTCCTTTCCCAAGCCCCCAAACTCCAAAATTATCTAGAGGAAGCAAAACTAGAAACCAGACCAGAACCAGAAACTAGACTAATCTCTGAAAGTTCATTAAGGCATGCTTATTATGCAGCTACACTGACTGCAGAGGGAGCTTCATTAGGCAAAACTCAGTAGGTTCAAATTAGTTAGAGATACACACATTCATAAAGCTCTCTGAAAGAAAAAAAAAAAGGCACACAATGAACTAGCCTTTTTTGCTTTATTGTGTATACAGACAACTCTAACAAACTTTTTCTTATTAACCACGTATGTATTTTACTTTTAAAATACAGTTTGTGTGTTAAAAGATAATTCCCCAAATTTACATTTGTTTTTGGAGAGAAATTCAGGAGTCAAACGTGTTTATCCTGACACCATTTATATAACAGCCTTGAAAATTCCAAAAGAGCTATACAGCAAACCTTCCCCTTTTCTTTCTATTTAAGTGGGATATCAGGTCAGCTTGTTTCTTCAATTTTGTACCTTAAGTACACTACCTTCTACTGTGCTTTGGGACAAAACAATATGCATGGTAACACAGTACTTCAACTACTAATGGTATGCCTCTGTTTCAGTCAAATCATAACTTAGTGCCAAAAGAAGGACAGGAAAGTTTTTTATCAAGGAACAGCTGAAAAAGAATCCCCATTTTTTTAAGAAAACACACTGTATTTCTAGATTTCTGCGTGGAAGGCAGTGTTTCACTATTAAAGCAGGCACAGTAATTTCCCAAATTGATGATTCAATGCCTGTAATTTAATGATTACTGTTGAGACATAATTCATTTTATTATCGATTCATTTAACACCAATATAGAAAGGAAGAAGAAACAATAGTTGAGGTCACCATGAACAAACCCTCATGTAACACAGATGCTGGCAGTTAAGAGTGAGCTGAAAAGTTCTGTGCTTAAGTACAACCAGGGCATCACATCTGATGATTAAACTCAAAGAATGTCAGAGAAGGCTCTGGCAGTAATACATGAAACGAGGAAGCGTCAGTCAATTTTTTTGCTTTCACAACAAGAGGAAAAAAAAAGAAAAAAAAGGCATTTTTATTGTCATAGCACTTCCAGCAAGTTGATTTTAAAAAGGAGATTTCATGCCAAAGTCGGCTGTTTAATCAGATAAAGAAGGCTTTCCTATTTCCCATTGTATAGATCAAGTTGGCTACAGGAGCCACACAGAGCTTTGAGTAGCACATTTTTCCGTGAGGGCTGTATCGTTTGATCATAGCAAAGCACAGGGACTGCTGGGTAATCTGAATCAGAGCTGCAGCAAAAGGGAACCAGGCAGCCTGCTGAGGCCAAGATAACCATGTCACCCCACATCCCAGAGCACTCCCTGTCGTAGACCTAGGTGTGGAGGGGAATCACCCATCTACCCCCATTTACAAATTTGTCATGGAGGTTTTCACCCGGGTCCCAACTGATGTAAATTTTTAATTCAAAGCTCATCTGTAACAGTTTTCATACATGCTTACTAAGGCCAGCCCCTCTGTACTGATGAAGATTCTCCTGACCGCTTTCAAAACAATGAATTTCAAACCCCTACAGCTTTGAAAGGCAATATATAGAGTTTTCTTTATAGGTCTTTGCAAGAGATGTAGCAGTTTATGAAGCCAATAAACCCCTGTTCTCTAAAGACAGTCTCTGTTAGAGGACAGGATACATCTACCTGTGATGCTGTTCACAGCCTTCTCTGGCAGACTGGAAGCAGCAAAGGACTGGTTGGTTAGGTCACCTGACATTCAGAAAGATGACAGATGAACCCATTGATAGGCTGATAGGTCAGAAGGGACCCCCGAGCAGGACCAAGTTTAGAAGCTCAGCTTTTCTCCAGGTACTGCCCGGGAAACACTTCTCTGGCACTTCCAGCCTCCCAACCTTCCTACAGCAGTGAGCAGCCCTTCAAGCCTCCACTTTCTTCTGCTGACTCCTCTTTCCACTTTGGAACCAGATTTGGCTCTGGACTGTGAAGCAGGCACTGCAAAAAGACACATCCAAGCATTTTAACTCTTTCCACTGAAATCCAGTTGAAACTGCTGACCTGGAGAAAAGTTCTTCAAAGCTTCAACCAAAATAGCACCAAACCACACACATTAGGCCTAGACACTGAACAAACACAAACTCAAGCCACCATCTGTCATTTTATCCCAAAATGCAAGATGGATACTTTCCCATACTTTCACCAATACTGCCATTTTTCCATGCACTACCAGTACTGGTAATAACTTATAAAGTCAGTTCTACAGGCCCTGGATGAACAGAACGTGTAGAAGACTGTAATGTGAACTCAGCACTAATGGTCTGTACTTGGTTTATGTTGTGCTGTTAAGCAGAAACAACAGCACTAACCGAGGCAATTCCAATTTGCTTTATTTTCCAAGTCCCAGTGGGCAAAAACACAACTGGTTCTCATAGAAGCACTTGGAGTGCAGTAAAAGAGAGCGCTGAAAGTTTAGGTGGTTTCATTCAGTAAGTCTAAATGAAAACAGTTGGGTGGGTGGTAGTGTTTTCTTGTTGTTGCTCCCTCCCACATCATCATCCCAGCCTCTTAAATGCTGATTTTGAGGAAAGTGCAGCGGGTTCCTTTCTGCCCTCCTGCTGCACACAGGCCATATGCCCACACAGTCATGGAAGAGAACAAGGGACTCACACGGTAAAATTTTGTTTCGCCTTTTCCGTTCCAAGTTCCCTTTCACTTTCACACGCCGACATATTGCAGATTTGCTCACTTTTCCTAAGCATTCCAAAAAAACTATTACACTCTGCTTTTGCTTCTTCAGAAGAATTGCCATTGTCAACACACCTGCAGTCCTGAGCTTTAAATTCCATATGTATTCGGTCTGGTATTAACCACCATAATACTATTTCTAAATGCAACACTCATTCATGCAAATACTGCTGGGAACTGAGTAATCCAACCTCCACATGACTAAAAACTTAGTTTTGAGTTAGCAATTTTTCATGCACGGTTATATTAGTTTCCCATTAAGAAAGCTCCTATTCCTTTGAAAAGCCTAGAATCCTAGACCAGCCCAGGCTGGAAGGAACCTGAAGAAATCACCTGGTCCAACCTTCTGTGGGAAAGAAAGCCTAGATGAGATCCTCTAGTTCCATGCCTAATTGCATCTTGAAAACCTACATATTTAGGAAAACCCTAATGTTTACAAATTAACAGAAACAAACAAACAAACAAATCCCAACACCTAAATTACAAAAGGCTACACTGAGGTGTTTAAAGACCAAAAGCTTTAACAAATTAAATCATGCCAGTATTCTTTAAGTAAATAAACCCCTCCATGTGCACAGGCATTATAACAAGATAACAGTGTTTGCAATTTTGAAAAAGCACTTAGAGACTTTAACACAAGCTACCCCATCACCAGCACATTTATGCTGGTTAAAGAAAAGAGCTACTAAGGACAGCTGTTACCAACATAAACCAGGAAATCTTCAGGCACAGGACCTCTTCACTGAGGGAATGGGAACAACCGTACCTGCCACAGTGCTTTGTAGTTTGCTCCATTAGTAGCTCGTTAACAAAAACATCTCAATCACACATTTTAACTCCAGCTGCAGCATGTCACAATTCAACTCTCATGATGTGTTTATCACAAATGACAGGCTACACAGGGTATTATTCCTCTGCTGCAGAAAGACAACTGCAACTTCTTTTTTCCCTCCTGTTACGTTTTTCATCTTCCTTAGTGCTGTCCGTGACACCCTCCCATTCGCTGGTGGGTGCTTTTCAAGTCTCCACCTTTCTTCAGAGGAGAAAAATATGAAGAGGCCACTTAATTCTAACCTCATCTAAATGGATTTATGCTCAATATAATTTAATGCAAATGATCACTGCAGCAATAAGCCATGGGAAGAAATCAGCACATCTTACAGTTTCTCCTGTTATTAGAAAGGCTTTCCAGCCTTACAACAACATAGGCATTATCTACACACAGAAACTACCTTTGTCAAACTAAGCCAAAGGTGAAGAACCTTTTACTCATCAAGGGCAAAAAAAAGCCTTACAAAAAATACCTGGCATACCACTTTAACACACTCTGCACTATTCACTGATAATGTAAAGTCTGATGGCCCAGGAGTCTCAGGCAACCTTTGAGTTAAGCCAATAAGCCAGTTCTAAACAGACACACAGTTATGTCAACAAGAGAAATGCAGGCCAGTCAAACTCAAATGTTTTTATTGGCATTTTTACTGGGGCTAAGTTTGGAAGTCATATCATTTTCAAAAAATAGGAAAAAATGCTAAACACTTCTCTTTGACTACCAGAAAGCAAGAGGGCAGAGTGTGCACTGAACAGTCAGCTCTGCTACCTGTGAAATGGAGGTGCACAACCTGGTGATAAATGGAAGTGCTCAGAGAGCAGAAAACAGGTGACCATTTCCAAAGGCTGATGGGCAGGAAGTTTCCTGCTACAATTTGCAGGTCAAGAAACCCATGAAAAGAGACTGAGAAAACATTTCACCTGCTTCTATAGAGAACAGGACTAAGAAAGGCGAGCCAGGATTGAACAAAATTATTTTGGGAGAAGAGACAAAACAGGACACCGCTACTCTCATTTTGAGTTTTAAAAATACGTTTCTCTCTCAGAGTGAAAATAACCACATTTGAGTGATTAAAAAAACCCACGTATTCTCCTCCTCATGCCTATCTGCAAACTTTTTGGACCAGTACAGCTGAATCACATAACAAACAAGTCACACTATGACATGTAGGTGCTTTTCGGTTTGCTAGAAAGATCTGAAGAAAACTGAAAATAAAGATAAAATACACTGCAGTGAAGTCACTGCACTGGATTCATGACATCATAATTGTTGCCATGGCAACTAGCTAGTATCAAGCACAGAATACTGCCTTCACTGCAGAATCAAGGAGCACTCGTGCTGCCACAAAATAGATGTTCTTATTCGAACAAAAATCCAGCCAACAACACAGGAAATAAGATATTGCTGTAAGTGGCTTGCCTTTTCAATACCTCTTGTTTTGTTCACCTGGTGTGAGACTTGTTAAACACCCTGGCACATATAAAGAGCTCTGATATACATGATAAAAAGAGCCTAACTGAAAAAATTATCATTTTCTCCCAGTGTTCCTCAATTTCTCTAGTAGAGTAATTCTTCTCTTCATGTTTTCCTCTCCTGTGCATATGACTGCAGTCATATACAACAAAACACATACAAGTTTAGACATGAAATGGGGGGGAGAGGAACAAAAAACCTCCACCAACAACATTTTCCAGTTCTTACTTCAGCCAGCCAGACATAGTCAAACTGGAAATGTCACGCAGCAGCAGAACTAACTGATAAAGAGCATATTCCACATTTGGAGCCCACAACTCCTTTTGTTTAAGGGCTGCACCAGCAGCGCCTTCAGACTCCAGTCGCTGTTTTCATGCAACGCTTCAAACCCGCACGGCTCCGACAACAGCCCCAGAGTAGCTTTCTTGTAAATAAAAATGTCATCTCTTTTCCTCTAAACAGCCCTGTTTTACATGAGGAATATCTGCTATTCCCAGCTCCTCACCATTCACGAACACAAAAGCTTCAAAAAAGCCGCTGCCGATTTATCAGATGGCAATTAATGTTTGTTGACCAGCAGTTAAGTATAAAATGCACAAGTGCCCCATTTGATGCTGCAAGATGAAATATCTGTTGAAATAAATCACCCAGGCACATGAAGGAAAGTGCACCTGGAAATTAACTTCATATTAACTTGCTGAATAAAAAAAGTCAAGAGTTGCAGGTCAGTAATACCAGATAGCGTTTCACAGTTCAACCTCATGGTTGATTAGCACCAAAGAAATTGTTTTCAAAACAAATTTTAACAATCAGACCACGCTATATAGTAAAGTATACTTATTTGCTACCTCAGTGGTTCTTAAAGAGCAATCTATAAATTACTGCTGGACCAAAGAACACTCCCACAACAACTACACGTAATTAGTCAATGTGTCTAAACAGTTTCAGTACACAATGAAGGGGATTTTTTCAGCTTCTAAGAAAACAAAACTGCCCTAGTCACCAATTAAACAACAGCACCACATCTCCACATTGGCTTCACGCCTTCACAGGCCACTTTCTCTACTGATATCAAGTTCACTAATTACACCAAAACCAAAAGCACTGAAGTAACCTGCCTCTCCAGGCTCTGCTCTCTTTATAAGGAGGGTCAACAAATGAGCAACAAAGTAGAGAATACAAACAATAAAACCAGGAGTTTCAAATTCTGATGATTAGTAGACAGCTGTATGCCATATGCCTCTGTCTTCAGTATTCTCCTAGTATTACTTCACACAACCAAGAATGATGACCGCTACTTGAAGGATGACACCACAAAAATCCCAAGTTTAAACTAATGTTCCACAATGTGCAGTGTACTTAGGAAATTACTAGAGCTGACAACACATTCTAAGGAAATCATGGAGTGTGTCAATCTATTCCCTGCCACAGAGACCTAAGGAAATGAACAGTCTTTCACACGTTTTTTAAAAACCTTAGGAGCAGACGCTGCCTTTGATGATGACTCCAACCATATATCCTAATACACCAAATACACTTAAAACAACTGCCACAAACTCAGAAAACTAAGGAAGTTGATAAAACCTCACACAAGTTACATGAGAAATGCAGAATTCGCATCTTCTCTGCAACTGAGTATAAATTTAAGTCTCTGTACTATACAACTGGCAAACCTGTTTGTCATATAAATAAGACAAATGGCAATGACATTCCCTTCCTCACTAGTAAACAGAGCACTTCTATCTTTAACTTACACAATATGAAATCACCACTTTATAAGCAATGAAAAATAAAACTACTGTCTGCAGCTGATTTTGCTTTTTGAAAGATTCACAGATTAATTGACTCCTTAAGCAGCTAATGTTGCTTCTCTGAGTGCACACAGAAAATTACAGATTATCTCAAGAGTTTAAAAAGCTTTTTACATAACCTTAAAATGAACTTGTTGAATTAGTTTTCCTCCAACAGTCCTTCTGCTAAGTCTAACTTTTGCTTATGTTAACACTTGACAGGGGAATGCAAATATGTAAGTGCTGGCCCACCTCTGTACATGCTATTTTTCCTTGTCTTATTCATGTATCACTATTGTAACAGAAGCAACAACTGAAAATATTCTGCTAGGATCCTTAGAGATGCCCACAGCACTTGCAAACCTGACTAATGACACCACAACACAAAAAACACTACTTGTCCCTCCTCTCTCCCCCAACAAATCAAGCTGAGAAAGGCTCAGGGATTTAAGATGCCACACAACTATTCTAACTCCTTATGCCTTTATTCAAACTTCCCTATAGCAAGTTCTTCCCACTGTTGAGAATTCATCATCTACAATTACAGAAAACTAAAGTGTAAAAGCACTTAAATACAATGATATGTCGTTAAATTTAGCTGTTAGTTCAGAAACACTACAGATATCATTAAAAAAATCTTACAAGATGTGCCTGGATCCAGTTTCAATTTTGACTACGTTGAGAACAATATTAAAGAAGTAGTTTATCCTAACACAGGCATGGCAGAAGCACATTCTCTGGAAGTTTTGGGGCACTGGCCTTTAGTCATGCCTTAGTATATTTGGAACAAGTCCCTTATGCATCACTGACCTGAACCACATTATAAGGTGCACCTATGTTGCAACCAGGGTCCAAACCAAATTAAACCATATAATGATAAACCACAGCATTTTCATCTCTCAGAACTGAGAGGAGACATTCTGTGCAATGCCATTGTATCCCACTGTGATGAGAGAAGGAATAGACTTGAAATAAAATTAGCTCCAAAATTACAGATTTCTGCAGTCCCTGTCTGTAGGATAATTCTTGCACTCAAGACCCTCAACTGGTCTTAAGGAGTTGAGAATCTGCTCAGTTGTGGATCTTTTACATGAAGTAGTAACTGAGGCTGAATCATTAACACCCACTCTCTTATCTGCACAAAGTAAGAGAGCAAAAGGAGCTTCCATTTCTCAAGTTCCCTGGTAGGAAAGAAATTAGTAGGAAAGCCCTTGGAGCAACCTCACACTTGTTTCCCAGAGCTGGAACTGTGCAGAGCAGACAAGGAACATCATCTTACCTGAACTCTTTTATGGTGCTCCTGAGCATCTCAGGAGAGGAAAGGAGCCAGGTACAAAATTCAGGATGCACTGGGAAATAAGTGGGAAAGTGTTTTCTTTTTGTTTGAAAGAGAAAACTAAAATCACCATCCAGGCTCTGATCAAACATCTACCTGACCCTCCTCCAACAGCAGGCACCTAGGAAAGAGTGTAAGAACAGGGCAAGCACAGGGACAGTTCCTTGGATTACATTCCCAAACACCAAGAATTTGCAGCCCGGTACATGACTGAGCCAGAGGTAAAGAACAACATGCAACAGACTGCTCAGCCCTTCTTTGTACCACCTGCACAAACTGGTCCTCAGACGAAACACACAGAAGAGTAAATTCTCCACTGTTCCAAAAGACACTCCTACCCTCCCAAATTTAGCTAACTTTGTTGCCATAACCTGTCTAACATAACTATATTCTGGCTGAAAGGGCACAGCAGATAATAAAGTTTAAGGGCAATGACTTGTAAGTCGCAGGCTCCACTTGAGATACTGGAAATACTTGTAGCAATTTACACTGTGTACTTCAGATCAACATAAATTCAATAAACCAGAAAAGTATCACTGGAAAGTTCAGTAACAGCCAAAAAGGGCCACAGGTTTCCAAGAACAGACACCCTCATTCAGAAACAAAGGTTACAAGTGGAAAACTTGCTGCTCCCTTTGCCCTTCTACCTCCAGTTTCTTCATACAATCCCAACACATTTCTGCAGGAAGCTGGGACAGTTTTACACAGTCTCTGTCATGGAAAACAGTCCACAAAGTGATAGCTAAATACGTACCCTGCTTATGTTCCCTCTTCTTTTGGGCAGCAGCCCACCCCTAAATTTGATTCACATGAACTGTACCCTCAGGTGTGATGACAAAGCAACTCAGAGGATCCCTCACAGATTTCAATCTGAGCTACTTCAGGTAGCGCAGATCACACACAGCCTTCCCTAACCCAGCTAATTTGAACTGAAATGGATTAAACAGTACCTGAATGGGAAGACACACCAACAGATGCAGGGGAACAGGAAACTCTGACAGCCAGAAGCCATAATGTCTTCTGCTGCTGTAACCAAGAGCTGAAGCTGTCCCCAGCCCAAGCTTTCTGGTACTTTTCCCAAAGCATATGTGCATGCCATTGGAGGATGGGGTGGGAAACACTCCCAGAGGAGCTGGTAGGGTAAGGAGATAGCATTTACTGGCATATCCATCTCTCTACAGCCTTGGAAAAAGTGTCTATTTAAACTTACATTTGAAAATTCAAATAACAGTGATAAACTACTGAAGATCATCAGGTAAGAAAAAATTACGAATGCTCAGAAGGGAGTCTCTGCAAACAGAATTCCTGAAAGAAACTTGAATCTCATTTCCCATTCAGTAGACTGTATTAACTAATAATGTAGAAATGAGTGATTCAAACATCTGAGTCATTTCTACCTGTATCCACAGTATATTCCTTCCCTTCAGCTGTATCCAAGTAGTATAAAGCCACAACTTCACACTGGTATGGTCAGGCACAAATTACTAAGTCACGTGGTATTTTTCAAATAAAACTGAATCATCGAAAGGACAAAGAGAACAAACAGCAAAGGAGCTCACTGCAAAAAACATGGTGACTTCCTACCAACCCTCAAAGAAAATGAGGGGAAAAAAGAAACAAGCTACATCTCCAGCCTGATTCAACAGGGGTTTTTACACTTATATTTAAGTCTTCAACTGTATTTACTATTTGAGTAATTCAGATGTTCATATCTTCCTTTTCCAAAGCTTCATGCCCTGTCATACAGTGTCAAACATGCTATATATGCTACTTCATCTCTATACAGCCAAATCAGATTTCTGGGAAGAAAAAAAATAAAAGGAACGATGAGCAAAAGGTTCCTTGTCACGGTATTACAATTTATAGAAAAGATGAATCTGTCTCAGAGTGATCATATTAAGTGGCTGAAGCAGTTATGCTTGGGTTTGGTGAGGGTTCTTTTAAGTCTGCTTTACAGGGATATCAGTCCAAAATTTAGCAGGAGTAATGGTGTCTGTAATTTCCCAAGTCCTTCTGTCAATATGTCCTTTTAAGTCACAGTCCATTTTTAGAGAGGTGTCTCACCGTAAGCAGCGCTAAAATAATGGGAACCACTTAAAGGTCTCATCCACAAATTTTTATTTGAGTTTCTGTCCCTGCTACGGTTAATGTAACCATACCTATGACAGCACAAACCACACCAAATCTTCAGCATCTGTTGGTTTCTAAGCTACTCTTCTGCTTAGGTGCAGTTTCTTTTCTGGCTTCAGTGATGTATGTATAACCCACTGCTAGAACAGGAGATCCAGCATAGTGCCCACAGCTACACTGGCTTCCCTTTGGCCAGTACCATTTTAGATCAAGTTGAGCTCATCAACTCAATCAACTGTGGTTTCAGAGTGGTTTATGTCAATCTAAAAGCAAAGCTATACAATTAAGCTAACCAGAATACTTTGTGCTGCTTTTGAAAAGAGGAAGCTTCATTTCCCTTCCTTCTTTCCCTTTCCTCCGCTTTCACTCACATGGCTCTTTCTATCTTCTCTCTTGCACTTGTGGAGCCAACTTCAATTCATAAACCAAAGATGTAAAATAATCTGGGGCTACTTTTCCACCAAGTTAGCAAGTTAAGCTAGAGCATCCTGGAAACCATTTAAGCGCTGGGATGGGTGCCAAGTAAGTGGTAGGATCACATGGCTGAGAGCATGACTCCCCATTTATGCCAGCAGGAAAGCCATAGGAGAGAACAAAATTATGAGAAGACTTGGGTCAACACGTGTGCTTCTTGTTCTCTTTCTTGATTGGTGCCGCTATTTGTCTAATCTCATTGTAAGCCAGTTCAGAGAGCTAAACCAACAAAACACCCATTCATTATTTTTTGGCGAGGGTTGTTTTCTGCCAGTTTAATTCCCTGCACCAGCTCAGCAAAGGAATCGGGCAAGCCATCTGCACCGGTGCAGGGAAGGGGGTAGGAACACACAGGGAGATGAGGACAGGCTGGGGCTGATTTAAGCTGTCACTGAACCGCATCCCCTGGAGCAGATCTGCATCACCCCGTAGTTAGAACTGACAGTAATCTGTGCCTGTACAACGGGAGGCCTTCGGCACCGCCGGGAGTGCCCAACAGCGCCGGCACTGAAACACCCGCGCCGGGCTCGACCTGGGCACGAGCCCACACGGTTACACGTCAAAGCAGAAGAGTCACGGCGCTCTCACCTTCAGAAATACTATGAAACATTAGCTAATTCTCTCCCTAGCAACACCCCTGTGAAAATGTGCTCTGTAATTCCCATTACACAGATTTAGCCCAGAACAGCAGAGCAAGCGAAACTGGTGACAAACTCAGGATTGGAACCTGGTAAATCCTCTACAGCAAACCAACACTTCCTCACTCAGCTGTGTTATTAACCCTAAACTAATTCAATTAGTCAATAGTAGACTATCAAAAACTCTTTTTGCAAAGACTTTGTAATGCACTATAAAGCTCACAGATATAATATAGTTAACGAACGTGGATATCTCCTGGATAGCTGTGAAATAAGGAACTAGAGAAAGGAATAATACTGAGAGTTAAATAATTATTTCCTTTTCTATAGAGAAAAATAAGTGTGCCTGAAGCAGAATGAGGGCCTATTCACAAGATTCAGGAAATGTAATGCAAACAGCTCCAGAAAGGAAAATACATCTAATGCATCTTTTTTCTCAGATCAGCATTGTCAAACTGTTTCATGTGAAATACAAGCAATTACTTAATACACACGATCCAAGAGCAGCATCTTTCCTTAAATTTATCTCCTACACTCAGCCCAACAAATCCCACACTTAACTTGCCCCGTGTAACAAGGAAGCACATTTGGAAAAGGGAGGGGGGGAGGAGGAATTTGTTAACACAGAAGCAAATCTCTGCAGCAGTGAACAGCCAGCACTGTAAGTCAATCCAGCAGCACGAGATAGTCTTTCATTCACATTCCAGCTTAAGCACAGCCAAGCAGATCACATTTGGGACACTCAAGTCATACTTAATTTTGTTCAACACCTTCTTTAGACAACAGCTTTGTCACCAAGACTGAAAAACACGTGTGTCATAGAAGACAGTCGTTTGCCAGGATTGTCACTGATTCTCTTAGGATAAAAATAATAAAGCTGTACATGCAAGTAGCAGAGGCTGCCTAATTGTCAGCTGTATAAAATAGCAGTATCAAGATTATTGTCCTGAGGGCAACAAGTTTAAGAGGAATAGAAAAGGATGCTGCAACCTGTTTTGAAGTCTTGAAATCTAAAGGAGCCAAAATTTGAGGAAAACAAATGAAAACTTACTGCATGCTACAAAAAACTACTGCAAATTTGCCAGAGAACCAGGAGAGAAAACAAACCTAGGGGGAGATGAACCCTCTTTAACAGAAAGAAACTGGATGATAGATGAACCCAACCAAAACATCCCGGACAGCACAGGCAAAATATTTACCCCAGAATCCTTCGTACCCTCATACATCTGAATTTAAAGAAAACAGCAAAAGTGAGCTACTCTAAGTGTGGAACTTACTGCTTGAAATCTGAAAACTATTATTTAAGTGACAGTGGTGTTCCAAATCCCCTTTTTCTGGGCAATAAATGATTATAACGAAGCTGAAGTAAGAACAGCACTTCTTCACACCATGTAAGAGACTCCCAACACATGTTGGTGCTTCCTTAGGCTTAACAGGCGGACCAAGTTGAAGGGAACCTCGCTGATTCCATCAAGTGAGGCACCTCCAGACACTGCCACTTGCTGGGACAAGCACTCCACGTCCAGCATCAGCAGTCAGTATTAACACTTACTGCTTGAATTATGGCTGCAGGCTAATCTTTGAGAAATTGATAGTGACAGCAAACCTGAGATTTATTTTTTTTCCCTCTTTAAATGACAGGTTGGGAAGCTTAGATTCTCCCCCTTCTTTCTGGGAAGTGAGGGGTAAGGTCTAGCTCCTCTAGTTTTAAAAATTACCATACTGACACACACCTCCCCAGTTCTGCTCCACACGGCTACTGGTACAGCTTAGCCTGTTTTCCAACCAGCTGTCAGATTGCTAAATTTTGGTCAGGTTTGAAAAAGAAAAGGGAAAAAAAAAAAAAAAGAGAAAAAATGCAGCATCACCCTGATAACTGAGCAGATGTAATCAGGCGGGGGAACTATATCATGGAGAGAACAAGTCTTACTTCTGTCTCAAAAGCTGAAAAGACAGCCAAGATAGAATGTATTCTCCTGATAAAAATTAGAAAACGCTGCAACAGTAGCACAACCCTCCACTTCCACCACAGCCAGGTAGTCCATAGGGAAGAAAAAAAGGCTTCTTTTACCCTCTGACCCAACACACACGAAGATGGTCCAAGAAGTATCTTAAAATCTGACACCTACCAGTGATAAACTAACACAGAAGTCCTTACTCAAGACTGAGAGGTAATACCCGCTCACTAGTCTGGGTACCTTCTGAGAAGTGAAGATGATGCCAAGGTTTGGGAAAAGGTGCTTCCCACTAACGTGCTGCCTATGGGCTTCACTGGGGAAGACACATTTCTATCCGCAGCACATTCCAGTAAAATTTTAAGCTACGACACAGGCACACAGCTATATGTTTGAGAGAAACACGTCTGTATTTTGGCACGTAAATACCTGAATTCAGCATCATAAGCCTTAAGACTGCACAAGGCCACTGTCCAGTATTCCATTCTATAAAAATTACTAAAACGTCAGCGACAAAGAAATTTTGGTTGCAATGCACAATGTACATTTTTATCATGCTGGATAAAATATCTACAGTCTCAGCAGTGGTTAAATTGCTGCTATAAAGGAAATTGTCCTCAGATAAATGGTTTCCCTATGAGAAGGTTTCAGTGCTACACCTCACCCCAGGTCAATAAATCAAATTAACTGCACCTTGTCCTCTGGCCAATGACATCATCGGCTTGACCACATCTCGTGAAGCGAGTGCAAAAACATATGCTATTTAAGGCATGAAATCATATTACTGCTTTTTGTCCAGCCAGCCTTGTGCTGTTGGGTCTGTGAAACAGTCAGTCACCTGAACAGTCTCATTACTGCTTCTACAGATTTTTTTTTTTTTCTTCTAGTATTCAAGGCCTGTCTTCGCCAAGGGTGAAGAAAAAGGATAAATAATCTGTGTCGTTACTTTTTAAATCAAAATGCTTTTCATTAGCTGCAGCGCAGCTTTTTGTGACAAATTAAATTTAGAACCAAACTATGGAATCCGCCGTCTGCACTCCCACGTGAACTCTCTTCCTAGTGGTTTCAGAGATGTTTACATGCTAATCTGGCACTGCTACTCTCAAGTACCCTGCTGTTTGGTCCTTTTTCTCCACAGGGTGAAAACAATGGTCACTAATGAAAACCTACATAGTTTTATCTGAAACCCAGCCCTGCATAAATATTTCCCTTTTTTAAATTACTGCCTCTTTCTAATAAAGTAGCCCATTTGTTTTATTTCTAAGTAGACTAATATCTGGTTTAAAGCTGAATTACTCCAGACTATTTAAGAGGATTAATTTCAATTTTCACTTGGTGTTCTTATGACAGAATCACAGAAAACTTATCTTCCTTTCTAGACTCTGTGCTGCCTAGTGGTATCTTCTGTCTTGAAAGCCAAATCTAAATGAAAGGGGGAAAAAAAAAACCCCAACCCAGAACAGTCAAAGATACAAGCAGCGACAAAAGCATCTGACACACTGCACTGTTAAACTGCATCTACATTAAGTAAAAAGAAGGTGAA